CCCTCAAACTCTCTATCCTGCCTCGAAATCCCAGGTAGCTTGGACTACAACTGTGTACCACCACACCCAACTTCAAAGGGTTGTCGGCTAAGTGAAATTACACATTGCAGGATTTTAGCACAGTGCCTGACACATAGTAGACGTGCAAAAAGAAAGCAAGTTAGCATGATGGTTCTGTTACCCTAATATTCTCACGTCAACGTTACAAATTAGCATTCATGACCCCATTTTACAGGTGAGGAAACTGAGGCTCAGGGAAATGCCTAAATTCACACATCTAGCAAGGGATACACCTAGGGCTCAACTCAGAGGTGACTCTAGCATCCTGACCTTTCTACCACAGATTCTGTGTGTCCCGGCTACCTCACTGTGCAGGAATTTTAAATCAATGCATGGGGAGGAGTTTGACACTGTTTCTCATGCCTTATTGCATCTGATTTGGCCCATATGGTGGGTTCTTGTAAGGCCCTATTTGAACCTGAGCTCTCAGAATACCTGAGCAGAGATTGTTACCATTTTCAAGGTAACAGACTTGAAACCCCAGACAAGTCCTTCTTTGTTTTATTTTTGTTTTTTGAGGCAGTGTCTCATGATGTAGTCCAGGCTGATCTGCTTCAGGATTCCTGGGATTACAAACATATACCACCACACCTGGCCCAGAGAAGTGCTTTAAGTTGCTCATAGTCACACAGCTGGCGAGTCACAAAGGTCCTGTCTAGGACTTCTGACTCCAAATCTCGTGCTAAGATCAGGTCACTGTCTCAGCAAGAAGGAAGTCAGTGGGGGAAGCTGTCTGGGGTAGGGAGGGTGGTTGCTCCAAAGCAGACTGGAGTTCTGGAGTTAAGAAGAACCACCATACGGCATTTGGCTGGGCTCTGTAGAAAAAAGGAAAACAGGATGGGAGAGATAAAAAGGAAAATGAACAGTAGGTAGGGAAGGGGCACAGGAACAGTGGCGTTTCCTTTAAGGCCAGAGGGTTTTATCTCCAGGAAGGGATGGTACACGAAGAGAAGTTTTTGGTGGTAGGAATATGCTTGTGGTCCCAGCCAAGCAGGTGCAGGCCCAAAATACACATTTAAAAAGGTTGCTTTTGATATTTGGGAGCAGGGGAAGTTCGCCAAGTGGCCAGCGTTGGAAAAACCAGCCTTCAGTGGGACTTCCTTATATGGTCAGGTCAGGGTCTAGTGGTATTGTTTTACTTTGAATGACCTTCTGGGAAGGGCACCGTGTTTTCACTGATCCCAGCCCCTGAAGATCTAAGTCTGACCTCGGTTGCAGCAGAAAGGAGGTGAGTGAGGCCTTAATCCTGGAAAATGCGAGGTTAAACATTCAGTGGGGCTCAGCCCTTGCTGACCCTGGAGACTGACTCAGGAGGGAGGGACGCACACAGGGTGACTAGAAGCATTTTGCCCCAACTCTGAGCCCCGACTGAGTGGGCATGCTTTCCTATTCTTCTTGCTGCTCAGTGATTCTCCAAGGGCGGTCCCTGAACTCCAGAAGCACTGCAGAACTTGTTAGAAATGAAAATCTTAGCTGGGCGCTGGTGACCCACTCCTGTAATCCTAGCTACTCAGGAGGCAGAGATCAGAGGGACCGTGGTTCAAAGCCAGCCTGGGCATTAATTCTCAAGAATGGCTCAAGTGGTAAGAACATCTGCCTAGCAAGCCTGAGGCCCTGAGTTCAAATCCCAGTCCCAGAATCACTACATGAGCAGTTCGGAGTGGGGACCAGCAATCTTTGTCTAAGGCTGCCAGAGGATTCTGGATTCTGCTGCAGGAAACCTCTGCTTTTAGTGTCACCTCATCCCTAGCCAGAGATGGAGGGATGTGCCCCCTTTGTTGACTCCATTTCCAGAAGAGAAACCAAGACTCAGAGAGATGAAGTTGCTTACCCAAAGTCACACAGCTACTATGAAAATCGGGTGGCAATCTGGGCCTTTGTGACAATAAAGCTGACACTTTTTTTTTTTAATTTGGTACTGGGGCTTGAACTTAGGGCCTACACCTTAAACCACTCCACCAGCCTATTTTTCCTGAAGGGTTTTCTCGAGATAAGTTCTCAAGAACTATTTGCCCAGGGTGGCTTTGGACATCAATCCTCCTCATCTCTGCCTCCTGAATATAGGCATAAGCCATTGGTGCCCGGCAAAGCTTATACTCTTCACCACAATGCTATAGCTGGGGATGACATTCAAATATTTGACACTTAGGAGCCTTGGCCACTCAGAGCTGATTCTCATAGGTCCAGGAGTCTGGGGATGGGAGTGGTACTAGCACCTGGGCACTTAGAAAATTCAAAGCAGCGCCTGTTACAAACAGGGAGACAGCTTCTGTATTTTCACTGATGCCTCTGTAGTGGTGCATATTGGCTGTACGCTGATGCTGGCTACAGGAGACTCTGAAGGCTGCACCGGAGACAGGCCTGGGCTAAATATAGCCCTAAGGAGAAGACAGCGATAGCAGGTGTGTTGTGGGAATATCTGCTTAGCAATGCTTCTGCAATCTGAAATTACCTGGAATTTCCTTTTCTTTTCTTAGTGGTGCTGGGCCATGCACACATGCCAGACAAGCACTGTACCACTGAGTTACACCATCAGCCCCCCTACCTGGGATTTTCTTTATTCTTTCCTTTCCTTTCCTTTTCTTTCTATTGGCAGTCCTGGAGTTTGATCTCAGAGCCTCATGCTTGCTAGGCAGGCACTCTACCACTTGTGTCACTCCACCAGCCCTGGGATTTTCTTTTGACTAGTCTCACTACCACCATCACCATCCCTTTTAGATTCTGACTTAATTAGTCTGGGGAGCAACCTGAGCATTTGGGATGTTTTTCTTTTAAAAAAAGTTCCAATGATTCTAGCATACAGTCAGGGCTGAGAACACAGCCATACAGCTCCCCAGTAAAAGACTCTAGATTAAGAACTCTTGGTTTGGATCAGTGTTTGCCAAAGCTGGGGGTTTTTTAAAAAGAGAAATTCTCAAAAAATTCTGATTCAGTAATCAGTGGAGTCCGGAAGTGGGTGTTAGCAAGATCCCCTGGTTTAGAAATCACAACAGTGACAGCTCCCCTTCCTCCTGAGGCTGAGGTAACGAGGAAAGATTCAGAGATTCTATGCCCTCTCCCCTACTCCACCCCCAACATAGCTGAAGCAATTGAGAACATTTGCCCAGGAAGTATCCAGAACCAATTTCCGTAGCTCTTCCTTCCCCTGTGCTGCAGAGACATTGCTTCAAAGGACATGCTCTGAAAGAAAGCCCAAGACACCCTCCCGGGGGAGCCATTTCCCACTGCAGTGCTGCAAAACCCTGGGCTGCAATCGGCTGGGCCTGCTCTGATTGCCTGTTCTGCCCATTAATCCTGGGACACCCTCATTTAGATGCAATCTGCATACATTTGCATATTGACTTCCAGCACCCCTCCCCCACCCCTGTAACATTGGGGGAACTAAAACTAATCTATTCACAAAGTCTGCTGAAATGTGCTCTAACCTGAACATCACACAGTGCTGGGACCTTGCAATACCTGAAGCTGGGTGCTGGAATGAAGGAAAGATGATGTGTGGATATGGAGGCACAAGAAGACTCCTGGGGTGTGGAAGCAGTGGTTCCAGCCCTGCTCCTGCTGAGGGGTGATGTGGGATTTCTCCACTGGGAAAAGATTGGGAGCCCCAGTAGAGAAGCTTGGGGCTTCCCCTTTCAGGGGCCTGGGTGAGGTTCCTGGCTTGGAAACCACACAGGCTCTTTCAGCTCCAGGTGAGCTCCATGTGGAAGCCAGCCAGGGGACAGCTAGGACAGAGGAAGGGGCTAGCACCTGGACTTGAACTGGGTGACAGTAGGTCAACAAGGAGCCTCAGTTTCTCCATGTTTATAAGGGGCTAACAAGCCTTTAGAGAGGGGAGTTGTCTTTGTGTGGTTATCCAGTAATGAAAGATCTGCCCCAGACCTCTCTGAGGCTGGGAAGGAACTAGCTATGTAACAAATGGCCTCAAACTTAATCCTTCCAGATGGTGGCACAGTAGTCCCAGCATGCTGGGAGGCTGAGGCAGGAAGATCACTTGAGCCAAGGAGTTCATAGGGAGATCCTATCTCAAAAAAAAAAACAAAAACAGAAAAGCAACAACAGGAATTTATTGTGATTGTATCTCACCATCCTAAGAGTCAGGAATTTGGATAGAACATGGCAGGCCTGCTCCTCTCTGCTCCATGATTAAGGGCCTCGCTGGAGAGTCAGCTGGTAGCTGAGGGTAGACCGGTAGGTGTAACATGGTTTTATTCACATTCCTGTATGTATTAATCACATTTTTATTTCTGTATTTTGGGATGCCTTGACATGTTGGGTCCCATAAAGGGACTGCCCCTTCTTTCCTAGAGAGAGTGAACCGCTAGCCAGTGAGTACCCTTGGGTATACAAGCCAGCCAACCCACCCTGAGCCCACACCCTCCAGCCTCCTGCATGCTACTATTCTATCCTCCACCCAAAATCATCCAGGCCTAGGCACTGGACAACTAGGACCACTCCTATAACCAAAATCTCAGCGACGGTATTCAAACTAGCTAATCCTGCACTGGGCGAGCAGCTCAGTGGTCGACCACTTGCTAGCATTGCCTTGCATGTACAAGGCGCTGGATTCCATCCCCAGCACCTGCAAAAAAAAAAAAAAAAAACCCCAAAACAATAATAATTAAATTAAAAGTCTTCAATCTAGCCAATCCTAAGCTTGCTCAGATGATCTGCCTTGGCTCACCTGTTATTTTCCACCAAAACCACAACCAAGGCTTAGGCCTCTGCCCCTCTCACCCGCTACCTCCTGATTGGCCCCTGGTGCTCCCCAATCAGGTCCTAAGTGCCCTCCCCTCTTAAGAACTATGAGGAATTAACTCTGTTTTCAATAGCAGTTGCCTCTTGGTCTGTTGGCCTCATAATACTTTAATAAAATGAAAATCCCAGGTACCTTTTTTAAGACACTGGGGTCTTGGCAAAGCCAGCTAGAAGGTGGGGCTCACCTGGGCTCTCCTCCTTTTCCATGTGCTCTCAGGCCCTCTTCAAGAGGTCTCTCCAGCCAGTCTTCTTGCAGAGTGGCTCAGGGGAGCTAGAACTTGTCATTTTCACTGTATTCGGTGGACCACAGTGTAGCAAGAAAGGGGAGGCCAGAAAAGAAACAGACAGGCTGTGTTCTGACAATGAGACAGGGGGAGGGGATGGCAAAGCAGAGAGAGAAAACTTAAAGAATTGAAACATGAAGGTCACATAGCACTGGGGAAATTAAATAGCCAATGAAGTCACATGTAGTCATATGTGGGTTGAGCTTTGCTTTTTGCTTCTGTAACCTGTTTGCAAGGGTATATAAGGTGAGACCCCTTTGTTCTTGGGTCTCAGCCTTTGGACACAAGTCCGCTGGGTCTCTGCTAGCACAATGTGCTAATCTGCCTCAGAGACTCCTATCTCAGCTCATAATTTCCCATAACAATAGCAGTCACAGGCAACAGGAGAGGAAAGCTCAACTCTTCATGGAAAGGGCACCCCAGGGTCTGCAGCCTCCCATGGGACATCTCCCTTGGGCCTCTAAGGTGCAGATGTGTGGCTTCACTGGGCCATAGGACACCCCTACCCAGTTTTGATTCCTAAGAGATTGCTGCCTTGCTTTGGGGAGCAGGTGGTGGTGAGAGCCTGGCAGCTCCGAGTCCTGAAAAGCTATCCCCACCCATGTTCCCAACCATGCTCACTGCTGAGCCATCTGCCTGGCCTCCAGCCTTCATGTTGCTGCTGGGAGCCTCTGAAAGCCTTTTCAGTACTTTCCTTTTGCTTAAGTTACTGGAACCAGTTTTCATGACCTAATCAAAATCCACTTGTCCCCAGTCCTGCTCCTCCCTCTGGATCCCCCTCCTGCTTTCTGTCCACTGCACCTTCTTCTCCAAGGTCTTCCCATACCAGCTGTATAAAGCCCCCACAGTTCCCTTCTCCCTCCATTCATCCAATAATCAACAGAATGGACAATCCCCTTAAATCCATCCCTTCTGAATTTATGAGTCTGCTAGGGCAGAACCACAGCCTAGGGGAAAACAGAAATTTATTTCCTCACAGTTCTACAGGCCAGGAGTCCAGAATCAATGTGCTGATTGGTTGGTTTCTTTCTTTCTTTCTTTTTGCAGTACTGGGATTTGAACTCGGGGCTTCATGCTTGCTAGCCAGGTACTCTACCACTTGAGCCACTCCGTCAGCCTTGGTTGGTTTCTTTTGAAGCCTCCCTCTTGTCTGTAGATAGCTGTCTTCTCCCTGGGTCTTCAGCTGGTCCTCCTTTGGTACATCTGTATGTGTCTTAATTTCCTCTTCTTAAGGACATCAGTCACAGTGGATTAGTGACCAGCCTAGTGACCTCATTTTGACTTAATTACCTTTTTAAAGACTGTCTCCAAATGCAGTCCCATTCTGAGGTGCTGGGGATTGACATTAATATATGAACTTGGAGGGAACACACTTTAGGCATGACACCCCTTCCCCTAGTCTCATGGCCTCCGCCTCGACTTTTACTCCTTTCTCCTGTTACTACAGCAGCTCAGCCCATCTAATACCCAGAGGCACCTACATTCCCAGGTTCATTTTCTTGGTCAGAGCTCCCTGACCATTCTCTGAGAGCTTCTATAGTTCCCTAGTGCTTCCAGAAAAAAGGCTGAACTCCTTGGTCTGCTATCCAAAGCCCTTCAGAACCTGGCTCCCACCTGCTTTTGCAATCGTCGTAGCCAGTAAGGCCAGGAAAAAGACAAGGGAGTCTGGCGCATTGCTGCTCAGAGTGAAGCTCATGCACTAGCAGGATCAGCGTCACCTGGGCATCTGTTAGACAATCAGAATCCCAGGCCAAGCCCCAGGCTACTGAATCAGAGTCTGCATGGCACAAAGTCGCCGGGTGATGGGTGCCCATGTGTAAGGTTGAAAGTTTGCAGGGATCTGGGAGAGTGGCTCACAGATATGGTGGGCATACACAAGACACACACACACAAAATCAATAGAAAAACCAACAGAAGAGAACACTGGCAGACACCAGTGGTGTCCAGAGAGGGACTCCAAGGAAGAGGACTCACCTGGCTGGGCCAGAAACTTGACTTTGCCCTGAAGGAACCACTGATCCCCAGGGGCCAAGAGTGCACAGCAGGTAACAATTCTGAACTCATAGACTTGACTTCCCCTGGCTACTAAGAAGTCTCACAGGCATAAGTAAATGCAAAGATTGCCCGAGATGGCTCCCTGACAGGAAAGACAAGGCTCTCATTTCTCATTCAGGGAGCCCTGCTGGGTGCCAGGCTGGAACCAGCTGCTGGTGGACAGAATGAAAAGAGATGGGAGCTTTGTCCTGACTGAGCTCACAAGTTGGGAAAGGACGCAGACCACAAGATACTGTGTTGAATACCACCCTCCATTCGCCTGGGAGCATACCTTGCCTTTGGCTGCTGAGCACTGGAATTCCATCTTCCCACGCCTACCCTCTCCTGTCCCCTGTCCAGCTGAAACAGAGATTTCCTCTTTAGATTTCAGCTGAGACATCATTTCTTCCAGGAAAATCCTGCTGAGCACCCCCACCTGGGAAGGGGGCCTCTTGTGGGCTCCCATGACTCCCCTCAACACACCACTTCCCTTATTGTGGCATTTTCATAATTCAGAGCAAATTTTCTGTTTATTTGTCTGTCTCACCATGGGGATGAGAACATCATCAGGGAAGGAACTCTACTGTATTCACATATTCTCAGGTATTGTTTAAATATAGAGTAATTGTAATAAAGTATAAATATAGTAGTAATTGTAATCACCTTTTTTTTTAAGCTCATACTACATGCCAGGCACCATCCTAAGAATTTATATGTAATAACTCAATTAATCCTCGCAACTAGCCAGTGAGACAAGTACTGTTATTTTTTCCTACTCCCCAGATATGGAAATAGAGGCACAGAGAAGTAACTTGTCCAAGGTCACACAGCTAGTAAATGGACCCAGGCAGTCCGGCTTCAGAGTACACTGGGAGAGGCGGTGATTAACTCCATAGAGGAGAGGTCAGAGGTCAGGAGCAACACCTGAGCCAGGTTTTGAAGTGTGAATAGGAGTTGGCCATGTGCAAAAGAAAGAGCAGAGATTTGTTAATTGAACAACCTTCATCTGGGTCCCATCTGTCAGAGCCATAGCATTTTCCTGAAGGGCAAATGGAAGGCCACTGACAAAACTCCAGACACTGGCAGACAAGGCTTAGACAGGGCAAATACCAGAGCCCTGTTAGCCTGAGTCACCCACAGCAGAGCAGGGCAGGGTGCACACACCCTGGGGTAAGTACATCGTCCTCCTGCCTTACCCACGATTTAGGCTCATTCCTGAACTGCCACTCCTTCCTTAGAGGGAATGTCACCTCCAAAAGGCACACCTTCAGTCAGGTAGGTGTTCACAACAGACCTGCAGCCAGGAAGGATAGCCGGGATTGTCCTCTCTGCTTTACAAAGCCCTCAGGTCACTCAAACTACCCTGAGTCTGACTCTGGGAGCCCCTCCAGCATCTAACATCCCAGAACCCCTTCTAGAAGCAGCTGGATTAGAAGGGAACCTCAGACTGTGAATAAACCAGATTTGGAAGAGCTGTTGGCTCCCTGTCCCTGAGAGAGGCCCTGGAACCCTGGTGTAGCCAGCCACCCATCTTACCACTGGAAAGGTGAAGTTTAGAGGAGGAAATGTGCCAGCAAGAACACCCAGACACAGAGGAGGGGGAGGGAGGGGTGGCCCAAATAATGTATACACATGTAAGTAAATATAGAAACAATAAAATAAAAAAGAATACAGAGCGAGTTAGGGCTACACCCGACAGGACTCTTTCCCTAATCAGACCCTCTGACAACCAGCCCTGTCTCTCCTACCCCTCCATCCTGCCCTCATCTTTTTTCCTTCCTTCCTTCCCTTCCTTCCTTTTTCCTTCCTTCCTTCCTTCCTTCCTTTCCTTCCTTTCCGCCCTCCCTCCCTCCCTATCTCTCTCAATCAGCAAACATGTACTAGACTCCTCTAAGCATCAGGTACCTCGCTGGGCCCCTGACCTCAGAGGATGGCACACTGGCGTGTAAGACAAACATAGTCACAGACATTTCCAATCCTCTCTGACCAAGATAGCAGAGACCAGGTCTGTTTCGTCCATCACCACCCCGGAACTGTGGTGCGCTGAGGAGGGATGTGGATGGCTTACAGACTGGGGGGAGGCCCATGCCAGACTTGGACTCTCCCTAACTCCTTCCCTTCTGTAGCACTCAGCACTCCTCATCAGCTCCAACTCTGTCCCAGCTCCCTGCTCTGTGCTCTGAATGATCCACACCTAGGCAGTGGGACTCAGTGGTCATGAGACTAGAGTGACTATTTCAGTTTAGATTAAAAATAAGAGTTAAAAGGGCTGGCAGAGTGGCTCAAATGGTAGAGTGCCTGAGTTCAAACCCCAGTACTGCTAGAAAAAAAAGTAATTTAAGCCAGGTACTGGTGGCTCACACCTGTAATCCTAGCTACTCAAGAGGCAGAGACCAGGAGGATTGAAGCTAGCAAATAGTTAACAAGACCCGATCTTGGAAAAAAAAAAAGTCACAAAAAAAAGGGCTGGTGGAGTAACTCAAAGTGTAGATCCTGAGTTCAAGCCCCAATACCACAAAATAAATAAATAAATGAATAAAATTGGGCAGGGGGGTGTGACTCAAACAGTAGAGCACTTGCCTAGCAAGTGAGAGGCCCTAAGTTCAAACCCCAGTATTGCCAAAAGAAATGTATGTAAAATTAAAAATCAATTTCCTAGTCTCCCTAGCCACATTTCAAGTGCTCAAAAAATGCACATGGCTAGTGATGCTCCACTGAATGACACGGGTGGCAGAACACCTGCATCTGGACAGTGCTGCTTTTTTCAAGCAGCAACACCCATGTGTGGGATTTCCAAGACCAGTGCATTTTCAAAAGTATGCAGGAACTGATTTAAGTTTGTCAACTGTTCATTTTGCAGAAAAAAAAAAATTTACCTTGAGACAAAAGTCTCGCTGTATAGCTTGGGCAACCTCAAACTTGAGATCTTCTTGCTTCAGCTTCTCAAGGATTATAGGTGTATACCACCATGCCTGGTTGCCATGAAATTTTAAAGATGTAAAAATGAAAGAAGGAGGGGAGGGAGAAAGGGGAAGGGAGGGGAGGGAAGAACACAAACACTAAAAGTATGTGGATTTTTTGTTTTTGAAGTGCTGAAGATGGAACCCAGGGCCTCACTCATGCTAGGCAAATACTCTGCACTCAGCTACACCCACAGCTCAATATGATATTAAACCCATGGGCCCTGGGTTTAAAACATATACAGTCCTCATTACGGGATAGTGATTGGAGAAATGTGGATATAGCTTGCACATTGGGGAGTTGTCCTGTGGCTATGTGGAGAGTGCCCTTGATCTTCAAAGGCTTATGGGTGGAGGCTCAATGACTGATTGTGACAATGTCTGCAACCAACTCCCTTGTGTTGAGGAAAAATATTATATGTATAATTATAAATATATATATATATAAAGTAGTCAAGGTATGCATTGCTCAGTAAGACATCCAACTGGGACCTGTAAACGTGACCTTATTTGGAAAAAAGACTTTTACAGATCCTTTAGATAGAGAAGTCAGACTAAGGACTGGATCCTAAATCCCAGGACTGATTGAATTTTTTTTTTTTGGTGGGCCTGGAGTTTGAACTTAGGTCTTCATGCATGAGTCACACCTCCAGTCCATTTTGCTCTGGTTATTTTGGAGATGGGGTCTTGTTAACTCTTTGCCTAGGCTAGTCTTGAACCTTGATCCTCTCGATCTCAGTTTCCCAAGTGTGAGCCACCAGCATCCTGCCCAATTATCCTTATTTATTAAAAAAAAGAAAAGGCAGGGGGAAGGTTTAAGATACACACAGAGACAAAGCAAAGAAGGCCATGTGAAGATGGCGTTGAAGAAACCAGCCTAGCTCCTCCAGTTGAGGAGGCCCTGGAGCCTCCGCATGTGCACTTCAGAAGGTTCTTTCTTGGAGCCTTCAGGGGTAGCACTGTCTTGCTGACACCATGATCTTGGACATTTGTGCTCTAAATGATGAGAGAATAAATTTGTTGTTTTAAGCCACCAAGTTTATAGTGATTTGTTATAGCAGCCCCAGGAAATTAATGCAGGTGTTCAATTAGTGAAAATTCATTAAACTGTACACATTTCTCTATGTGTGTTATACTCCTTTGAAAAGATACTAAAATAAACTAGAATAACCATCTACTAGTAATGTTAATTTAGCTGAAACTTTTAAAGAAAAAGTATAGCAAGTATATAATTTCATCATAAAAGATGGGCCCTGGAAATGAAATGTAACTTTATGGTGCTCTTTCTTTTTCCCTTCACTGCTAAGAATTTACAAAAATATCTCATCATAGATAAGCACCATCTGCAGACTGGCTGCATTCGAGTCACCTGGGGAGCTCTAAAAAACACTGAAGCCCAGACAGAGAGATCACCAGGACAGGACAGGGAATCCAGAAATAAATCTGATACACTTGGGAATTTGGTATCCGCTAAAGGTGGCACTTGGAATCTGTGGGGAGAGGAGAGATTATTCAATATGGTATTGGTCCAACTGGCCAGCCACTTGAAAAAAAATAAAGCTGTGGTCTCTACCTCATTGCAATCGCCAAAACAAATTCCAGATGATGAGAAATACAACTAAGAAATAAAATACACTCCTAAAGGATGACAAGAGAATACGAGGGGTTTTTTTTGGCAGTACTGGGGTTTGAACTCAGGGCCTTGCCTTGCACTTGCTAAACAAGTGCTCTACCATTTGAGCTTAACCCCATTCTTTTTTTGTTTTTGTTTTTGTTTT